GTGTTTCTGTGTGACCTGACTGTGGCATTAAATGGCTCCTATAGTGGTGTTTCAGTGGTGGGTGTCACAGGACCGTACTGCACCACGTGGTGTTCCTGTGGTGGGTGCATTAGGAGGACTGTAAGGCACTAGTTGGCCCTGTGCAGAGGTGTTTTGGGGCTGTGTATATTTTGTCTGTTTTGCAATGAGGGAGCGGGACTCCCTGTCTCTATTATCCCATGACAGGGGTTGGGGACAGTCTACGACTGCAGGACCGATCCCGCTGCTAGCCGAGGAGAGGCTGGAGCCCGCAGGGGGCGATACCGACAGGGGAGGAGGAGCCGCAGCACGGCTGGAGCCGCCTCTCATCCCGGGCTCCCTGGCAGCTCCTCGGCAGGTCCGACTCCTTCTTCCTCCTGAAGGTGCAGCAGGACAGGGCTTCGCACCGGGTTCCGGGCGCGCTCGGCTAAGCTATGGCGGTCTCTGCGCTGCAGCAGGGCATGGTCTCTGTCGTGCTGCTGCTCTGCCTCTTCGTGGCGGTGCCCAGGCTGTTCGGGGGCGGAGGAGGAGCAGGGAGAGCCTTGCGGGGGGGCAAGGCTGGCCCCGGTCGCTACGATCCGCCCCCCACAGGTACAGAGGAGCCGCCGCCCAATCCTCCCTTCTGTCCCGGCAGCGGGGAAGACTAGTGGTGCCGGCGGGCCGGCTTTGGGTAACAGTCTGGTTCCCCCTCCCCCGCACTTGTTCCCCTAGTTGGAGGAGGGGTGGTGGGAGAAAGGGTAATAGGCTGCGACTTCTCTTATATTGCCCCCTTCTCCCCCTCCCAACCCCCCGCTTGGTGGGTAAGCTTGTGGGTGTGAGAGATGGCGCAGTTTGTGACCCTGATCTCTCTGCCCTCCATCCCCCGTCAGGAGGGTCTGTGGAAGGGGGTGAAGCCACAACCTGTTTAGGCCATGTCTACCCAACAAAATTATGTCGATCTAATTTATGTTGGTATATAGCCACCACATTAGATCGCTCCTGTGTGTGCAGGCTTGGCTCCTTGTGTTGGTGGTGTGGGTCCTCAACACCACCAGGAATTTTATCAATTTTATTGCCAGTGTGGGGCATTGTGGGGCGGCTCCTGAAAGCACCTAGTAGTTGATGTAAGCAACTCAGTGTTACACTGATGCTGTGTTGACCTAATTACATTGACTCTGATTCTAGGCTGCTTGGGGAGGTGATGTTACTAAATTGGTGTAGCAAGGCTCTTATGTCAGCTGGAGTCAAATTTAAGTGAAGACCCTGCCACAGCTAGGTGATGTAAGGCAGCTTATGTCAACGCAACCCTATAGTGTAGACTAGGCCTTTGCCTCCCTCTCTGTAAACTTATCTGTGGCCAATAGTTGGAATTGCTTTGTGTTCTCATGTTGTTTACAGAGCTACACATCAGAGGCTACCGGTAGCTTGAAAAGAGTCTTGTGACAATCAACTTGGGATAAGTGAAACTATCTAATTTTCTACACTCACCCAGTGTTCTGGTGCATAAAATAAACATAAGTATTTGCAGTCAACAGAATGAAGTCGTGATAAAGGAATCACAAAATAGAGACAATGATAAGACACACTTTGTTTCATTTAATAGAGAAGAAGTAACTGGGGGCATTCTTCCTGTCCTAATAGTGTAGATGATGCTCTGTTCTCAAAAGCACACATTTTATTAGGCTAACAAAAGGTATTGCTTGTAACCAACTGGTGTTCTTAGTCTTTTTTTATTCCAAATAATTGGTAAAAACAGAATGCAGGGAAGTGTGAAAAAGCTGAGTGTTACAATCTCAATAAGGAAATCAAATAATGTTGATTGTTGGGTAATGTGTTCCCCCAAACAGGCATTGGGGATGATGGTTGTTTAAAACTAATAATCTTCATCTGTGCTGAGATTTTAGCTGTTCACTAAAGTCAAATCCTTGTCTGGTCTAAATTGGTATGGAATAGTGCTAATTTATGCCAGCCAAGGATTTGGCCCTATATTTCTGAAGGCAAGTGGTCCATTTTAATATTTGTAAAAAGTGACAGTCCTGTGGCACCTTATAAACTCAGACTTGTTGGAGCATAAGCTTTTGTGGGTGAATACCCACTTCGTCAGATTCAGATTTTAATATTTGTAATTAATTAGATCAATTTAACTTCTTGAGACAGCCTTATGATTTAATAAGTTGAAGGCCGTTGTAAACCAGGAGAAATAACATAAACATTATATGATTTCTAATAATTCACTGTTGAATACTTGGGAATAAAACAGGCAATTTATGAGCCTCTATACAATATGTAAATCTTTATGTGCCGTTCAGAATGGCCCTAAAGCTTAGGTTTAACCTGTAGAACAGGAGTGGGCAACCTATGGCACATGTGCCAAAGGCAGCACGCGAGCTGATTTTCAGTGGCACTCACACTGCCACCGGTCTGGGGGGCTCTGTATTTTAATTTAATTTTAAATGAAGCTTCTTAAACATTTTAAAAATCTTATTTACTTTACATACATCAATAGTTTAGTGTTATATTAAAGACTTATAGAAAGAGACCTTCTAAAAACACTAAAATGTATTACTGGCACGTGAAACCTTAAATTTAGAGTGAATAAATGAAGACTCGGCACACCACTTCTGAAAGGTTGTTGACCCCTGCTATAGAATTATACATTTTCTGGACCTTTCTCTTTGAGGCAGGGATGTCTTATTGTTACGTGTGCTAGGCAATATACACAATGGATCTGAGGCTTCTAAATGTCACCATAATAAATAATTAAAATCCTGATTATATACACCGTACAAGGTAGTTTTTTACTTAGATTTTTCTAAATGGCCACTGAAGTGAGGTGTTGGCATCAAAAAGTAATGGGGAAAGAAAAAACATTCAATAAACAATGCTCACTAATGGCTCCATTCTTGGAGCTATACAAGC